CCCCCCCCCCCCCACCCCCCCCCCCCCCCCCCCCCCCCCCCCCCCCCCGCCCCCGCGCCCCCCCCCCCGCAATAGAGTTTTAGAGTAGTGCATACACAAACTATAAAAAAAATAAAAATATATAATTCGAAATATTCAGATATCCAAATATTCCTCTTTTCTAGGAGGGACAATTGCACTGCTGGCGGTCCGCCAGTGTATGTAATATGTGCAGTTTTTTATGACTTTTTATCATTGTTAAATAAATATAGACTGAAGTGTTCAGAATGATTACCTTAACTTATCTGCAAGTTCTCGCTTTACGTCTGCTAAACATACAGTAAGATGTTCAAATTACCTATGATAACAAATTACTGATGTTAGGCGTGGATTTAGACGGTAGAAACTGATCATACAAGTATTTATCCATAAGCAAATATTTTACATTCAAATACTTTTGCTTCTTCTAGTACTCAGCATGAGATATACCGTTGTTGATAAAAAAAAGTGATAAAAGTGTTTTCAATTAATCTGTATAGAACAACAATCATTCATTGTTCATAACTACTCGACAAAACAGGTTTGTTCTAAATGAGTTGAACAAATAATTGAGAAATACATCAATGAGCTGAGAATGGAAATTGTTATTACTAATTGGTGATCAACAGCTCTCGTTTACTGGTTGCCGAACAATTTTATGATCCGTTTAAAATTAATAAAGTCGATATATAAATCATAGATATCTTTTTACAAAAATAGACCTATAAAGATGACTTACTCTTAAAAAATGTTGTCTGTTTTGTAATGTTATTTCAAGTTGTCATCTATTTAAAAGTGTATAGTAATTTAAATTAATTAAAAATAACCGAAAATAAAATAAATTTTTAAATCACTTTTTCATATATATGGATGATATATATAGGAGAAAAAATTTGTAGTATGTATATTTGATGAGACAGAGATGTGCCAAACTAGTAAAAAAAGATGAGTGTTTCTTTTTGAGCCAATGTATGTCTATATGTATGGATAAAACTACAAATGGTAGTCTTGAAAGAAAAAGCAAAAAGATATAAAAAAATGAACCGAACAACAAACAGATTCTAATGATCATGATTTGAATGTTTTTCTGCTAAATGTTTATCCTTATTTTGATTGTGATCATCTATACTTGTTGAATTATCGTCGGAATGATATTCAGCGGATGAAGACGTTACATCACCATTTTGATCGTCACCGTTATAGACAATACGAGCATTATGTTCTTGCGCTTTTGCTCTTAGTACTGCTATACTTTCACTACGAAATGTTTCGGGATTTTTTATACAATAATCATCGTCTTTTGTTGTAGAATTTGAATTTGTACAATCATTATCGACTTCATGTTTCATATTTCTTAATTGTTCAGCAGCTTCCAACGATTTTCGATGCATACCTTTAACGTAAGAATTAAAAATAGTTCAATGATACGATATTGATGCTCTTTACTTACCCAATAGCCATGGTGCGCATGAACTATCAATACCATCTTTAGCTGATTTAACAATTGTTTCTGGTAGTGGTAAACTATGTCTCACCATGGCACCATATAAACCATATTCGGCCATTACAGTTGCTTTGCCCCATGTTTTTTCTGTTTTTCGCCATTTAGCTCGACGATTTTGAAACCAAACCTAGCAGAAAAACAATAAGAAATTCATCATACTTAGTCAGCGTCCTCTATACTAGAATTTTTCTTAGTCTAATTATTTTTATAGATATAACGGCATCAAATAAGGTTGGCAGATATCTCACGTGTTCCATATGCATTTGAAATGAAGTGCGACAGTGTGATAACGAGATTCAAATTATTACTATTCTGAGATGAAATTCTACCTGACAATTATCGTGTTATCATTTATTCTCGTAGTTCATTCAATTGTTAACCAACGTTCAAACCTGTGATAATATTATCGTACATGCGTGTTTTATTGAGAATAGGATGGATGATCATTATTAGTTGATCACACATTATTTCCTCTTTAATAGGCTTGACGATGATGTAAACGAGATGAAAAAAATGAGCAATTATACTTATTATTGACAGTTGTGAGCAGTAATGATGCGTGTATTCTTGGAAAACAGTGAGAGAGAGAGAGTGAGAGACAGAATAAAATAAACATAATGTTCACGTTTTACACATTCTTACATGTAACTCAGTGGAATTATCCAATTGATAGGTAGTTTGAACAAGATTCTGTTAAAGAAATAGAAAAAGTTTTTTTATCTGTTCTTTTTCTTCTTCTAATCTTATGACGAATAAGGGTTGCGTGCGACAAAAGTTTTTTTCTAATTCTAAACGCATGATACTGTAAAAATAGAGCTTATGCTTAATATTAATTAATTATTTATTTTTCATTACCTTCTAACTATGTATGTCCTATGCATATGAGAAAACGCTCATTAACAACGATATAAAAATATGCAAGAAAAAAACGTTATCATGCTGAGTGTATATGATAATAGAATGGCTATGGAAGAAAAAAGAAACGTGTACAGCTCATTTAAAATCGAAGTGCTAGTAGAAATACATCTATCTCCTTCTATTCTATTGCGATAATGATGAGAAAATAGCCCATTCATCATTATTACCAAAAAAATAAATACATATACTAATTTGTATATATTTATTGATCTGATTTAAGTTATATGGAGAGTTTAAGGTCGTATCTGCACAAGTTTATCTCGATGAAGATGCATAAAATGTTTTAAGTGAGCATCTCTTGATATTCCCAATAAATCAGTTTAGTTCTTCTAAATTTTCTCATCTACTTATCATGACGTTTTGTCCATCGTTTAAGAATTTTACCATGTGTGCTAGTGAATGGATACTGGTCTACTTCGCCATTATTTTTCTATATCAACTTTCTTTCCTACAAAAATGACTGTTGACAATTGTTGGAATTTGATGGTAATTGGTACGGTTATGATAATTCAATCATACAAAAAGAATATATAAGTAAGGTGCTCGTTTTATGTCAACAATTACACCTCTGTGAAGGTGAAAACATGATTTTTAAGTAAACAAAATAAGCAAGCACATGTAATAACATGTCGAAGCGATCACTCATTAGTAGAGTAAGCTGGAAATAACAATCACAAATTGGTATGATATTTAAATTTATCAGTAAAAATGTCAGCACGGAATGTTTGTCAATAAAAAGAAAATCTAAGATATATTAGCACTAATAAAAGATCGCTCACAAATTACTTAATTATTCAGGTCTTACATTGCAAACACTTTTCTTAAATACACATAATACTTCACATACTTGTATTCGATCTTCTGGTAATTCTGTTTTTGATGCTAATACTTCACGAGCAAACACATCAGGATAATGAGCGTCTTTAAACGCTTTTTCAAGCTCTTCGACTTGACGACTGGTAAAAATAGTTCTAAGAAAAAGAGAAGACAATTTTGTAATGAAAATTGAATAGAAAATGTGATGACAAAGACAAATATTTTTCTGCGATGCTTAAACTCAAACGAAAAATTGGTAAGGATTAGTATTTAGTGATGAAGAGGAAGCATGTGGCATAGACTCTGCAAGAATAGTATGATTTGAATTGAGTACCGCAAAGATTCAAAAAGGCAACGTTCAATACCTATTGCTTCATAAAATAAATGTTTCACTAACGGCCTACTAAATCAAAGTTTATGAGCTAGTACATGTCTCGGATTTAATTTATTGAAAAACCTTGAAAGAAAGTTAAATATCTTTTTCAAACAAAATACTAGTTAGGAAAATAGTTTTAGACATTAGCAAGAGAAAAGCCTCACTAGCTAATTCAAATACCGATAGTATAACTGAAGAGCTAGTTAGCCTTTAGCCTAACTAAAGGCTAGTTCATTATAGCTTTATAGATATCTGAAGTTATATCATTGTTGCTGATCTGAATCTTTACAAATCTCACTTATTAGAATGCTCAAACCCTATAATTTGAATACGATTTCAAGATTTATAGAAGACTTGATGTGATTTACCTATGACGTCTTTTACATTTCTTTTTCTCGCTGTATTTTAAGTATAAATCATCGACGCAACTTGAAGCAATATCACGATCTAAAACAAAAAAGAACATAAGTAGATACCAGACCATTTGTTGTTGTTGTTATTGTTGTAGTAATTCTAATCTCGATATTCGTATGTTTTTTTGTTCTGAATAGGACAAGAGGGAAAAAAGTGAAATTTGAAACAGTCCGCTATCGTATAAAATTATTTTGTTCGTTGACTTTCTTCGGATAAAGTTGTATTTTTCTTTTGATCATTTTAATACTGATTTGATTGAGAAGGCGGAGGAGGAGAAGAAAAATAGTTATTATCATGAAGTGTGAAGTAGAAATTGACAAAATTTATCTTTAAATCAAACATCGAACTAATATGTATCTTTAAGGTAAGCAATAGATACACACATACCGACAAAAACAAATGATAATAAATGTTATCAATTGTTTTACATTTTTAAAATAAATGTAATTTAAGAGTATCCTTCCTACTTTTCGAAAAATAAATCGATAAATATACACTTAACTGTCTTCTATCACGATGGATACAAAACTTTGGCGAAGGAAGACATCTTTTTTCTCTTTCCGATTCTAGAGTCCTGAATTTGTCTAGATCTGAGAAATGCAGTTTATTGTAATGAAAGCGCATTTTGTAATATGGAATATGTCGCACATATTTCCATACTGGATGTGCGGCGATCGACTTGATTTTGGATAACAAATACAGAGGAAACTCCACAGTTTTCGATGATAAACATTCTTGTTCTAGTTTTGTGTTTTTCTCAAGAACTATTTTTTGCCACAAGGATGCATTGTGACACGTTAGGACCTAGCTTGGCTTCCATGTGATCAAGCTAAAATTTTTTACTAGAGTTACTCAAAATACTGTCGCAGAGATAGTTTTTTGAAATTTGGTCGTTAACCTGTTTCTCCTCGATATATAAGAAAAATGCAAATTTTTTAATTTTAAAAAATTTGTTTTGAAAAGGAAAGACTTGAAGACAAAATTCTAAGATACTAGCTCTGCGATACAATTTTGAGTAAATCTGTAGTAAAATTTTTACCATGATCAGATGAAATTTAACGAACGAAGATTGTAATGCAACATAATGGAAAACGCGTGAGCTATATTAGATACTGACTCGAAAGACAGACATATTTCCATTCAGTTCTCAAACCATTCTAAAAACGTGATGTCTCAATCATTTTTAGTTTTAATTTAATAGCATTTCTACGAAAAGCCAAGAGGAATGAAGGAGTACCGTTCAATAGATCTTTGACCTTATATAATTGACTTACACACCAACCTCTAGTGGTACAATGACGTCTTCTGCAATGTAGCTGGTGCTAAAGTAGCACTTTCGACAAACGGAGGCAACATAAGGTCTCTGACTACTCTGGTTTTGATAGTTAAAAAAAGGTGTCCACAAAAATTCTATTTAAAAATGTAGTTGACCTTTGTTTTTTACATCCAGCAGTCTCAGTGAAATGGCATTCAATAAGTACTGCAGTTATAATGAGATAAAATATCATTGTATACGATCTTGTTATAAGGCTAGGCCTTGAGAAATTTTCTAAGATTTATGATACCTTGTGAAAAAATCTCGCAGGATTTTCTCTGAAAATCAAGGAAGACGGATATTGCTAATCTTTGTACATCTCACGAAATTTCATATGATCCTTCAATGATCAGTTGAAACAATTAATCAACAGGAACACCTGCAACCAAAGTCAAAGAACTTACCAAGATTTTCTTGTAATGAATCCATTGTTGTTAGAGAATTTGTCATTGATGATGGTGAAAAGTCAAAAAAGTTTGTTCCATTTGTTGCTGGTGAATTTCCACTTTGATTACCTCTTATATTGTGGTTGGTAGCAGCTGTAACAAACGGATGTGGAAGAAAACTTGATCTTGATAAATAGGCACTGTAGGCTGCTGCTGCTTGAACAGCGGAAGCTGACGACGAAGTAGAATTTGTTTGTGAATAACATGACGTAGGATCCAAATAATTTCTTGGTTGATAGAAACTTATAGGATCATATCTACTGCCAAATGGATCTGATAGTCCCAATATTTCTTGTATAGCAAATGTTGTTCGTTGTGAATTAAATGATGAATTATTTGCTGCTTGTGCGGTTGTTTGAAATAAATTTATATTTGAAAAATTCATTCGAACTGATGTTGTTGAAGGATGAGACAAATGAACTAAACTCATTCTAATGATGAATAAAACAACATTTTTCTTGTTTTATCGAATGATTAGGTTGTGTTCTAATTTGCTTTATTAATTGATTATAGGCTTAATGTATTTGACAAGTGGGATGTAGGGAATTGTTGCTGACGTTTTAAGAAAAAAGAAATTATTATACAGAACGTTAAAGTTAATAAGTAGAAAGGTAAAACGAGTCTGTGTCATTTCTCTTTTTCGCTTTCTTGTTCGTGAATTCTTTTCCTTTGCTTTTCCATTCTACTGTTAATGATTACCAGAACCAAACCAATCGGAAACAAAACAAAAATGTTTGACATATACTAGTGAGACAATTGGCTAAACAAGCCTTATATTTTCAATGAGCCAATCAGATAGAAACATATTTTCTTCTGCTATATATAAATATTGATTAGTGGAGGAGAATGTTAATAAAATGAATAAAAATTTAGTACTAATTACCATTCGTAAAAACAGATGCTAATTATAATAGTGAATGTACCTTCTTGTATATGATCATATCCGTAATAAGACTTGTCTGATTTATTCTTCTTCCAATCCTATTTTGTTTTGATATATTAATCATTGGAGCAACGTTTTAATTTTCTATATTTTTCTTTACTGTTCACAACATATTCAAAATTGATTAAAGTCAGTTTTCGAAATAGCACTTTTTCATTTATATATAGCAATGAATGGTTATTAAGCTAAAACTAACTATTCAAATTTAACGATTATTTTTTCTTTAAAATAAAAATATATTGGCTACAATTATGTTGGAATGTATCACTCTTGTCAAATTTCTTCTTTTTCTTTTATTTGTTTTTATCAATGAAGCTACAAATTTGAAGGATTGTCATAGGACGTGCGTAATTTCTCAAGGAGATAATTATATAATTATTTTATAAGACGTATGAGACGCTCCATCAGTATCAACGATTCCACTTAAAAAATAAAGTATCTGACAGACATTAGACTGAGTCTACAGAATGATTTTTTTCTGAATCATTATCACTATTTATATATGATAGTGATACCAGCAGTTGTGGATGGTGAGTAGAGAGACTCTTTCTCATTGTTCATACGG